CCTCAGGATCTGTGGCTTCCCCTAGTTTCTCTTCATTTGGATTCCTCGATAATGTTCCAGATTTGAGCTTTTCCCCTTCACACCTCTTCGTCCGATTTCGTTGTAAAGTCCTATCCTTTTGACCTCTTTGAAGACATTATCCCCTGATTTTTATCGAGAGTTTTCTTAGGTGACTTCGGTCATTTGAGATGTAATTAACTATAGGGGCTTGCCCTTATAGGGAGCTTTTCCGAACCCAGCTTAAAATAAACCCTATTTAATTATTTGTATTAAATAGGGGAACTTGTCGGCAAATAAAATGGTTTCGCAGACCCAAACGGACGTCATATCTTTCTTAGTTTATTTGATCGAGCTTCATCCTCAGGTCTTGTGTTTATTCTTCGGGGTAGATACAGGATTTGAGGTAGAGCGCTCTTTCATTTAAACTGTGAAAAATATGAGGTCAGTTTGATTTCGTATTTTTCTAAAATTATATATATATATGTAAATTAAAAAGTCCTTCCGAAGCGGGTGACGGGATTTCGATTCCGGCGACCGACAGCTTCTTACGGGCGACCCCCAAACGTAACTCCCCCCCTTTTTAAACGCCGACAACCCCAACTTACTGTGCTTATAGCGTTCACTTGAAGGTCCTGTGGGCCTTCTTGGATCACGGTAGGCCATGTATGATTCCAACACGGTTCCGTATCACTTAGGAATGATGTCCCATATGTGTTGCATAAAAAATGGATGCAACAGCCGGCAAGGCCAACATTTTACAGGTTTGTTCGTTCAGTTCCTATCATTTCACAGTTGCTCTAATCTTAGCATATAATATAAAGCTATTCTTGGATTAATTCTTTATGGAAGGAGGAATGCAGAGTGCATCAAGAACAATGGAAGTGAATCTTACAAGGCATTCGAAGATTTTTAGAAATAGACATTCCTTGTTTTGATATGGGTAATCCGCATGGACGACATGCCAGGGTTGATCAATGTTATTCATGCCATAATTTATTCGACCTTTAGTGTTTTATAATTGCCATGGTGTATATGAATGGACTGATATTGTATTGATACTAATGGATGTACATGAACAAGCAACTAAATTCTTGAAATTATATCAAACAAAATATTCTGCAACATTTTGGCTATACTCTTGAGATCATCGAATATTCTCTTGAAATCATTGAATTAGCTCTTGAGAACCAACGATTACATGATGCAAATCATAGCATTGCAATTTAGTTGTTTTGCTCTTGATATCATCGGATATTCACTTGAAATCATTGAATTAGCTCTTGAGAACCGACCACTACATGATGCAAATCATAGCATTGCAAATGCATCCGAACGAACAACTAAATTCTTGAAATTATTTCAAATAAATATTCTGCAACATTTTGGCTATACTTAAAATGTCATCAAATTCTCTCTTGAAGTCATTTAATTAGGTCTTGAGAACTTACCATAACATGATGCAAATCTTAGCATTGTAAATTAGTTCGTTCGCGGGATTATAGAGGGATCAAATGTGACAAAAGGTTATGGTAACTCAATGAATGGTCAAGATTGCACTTGGAGATCAATCCTTACCTGCTGTGAACCATAGCATTGCAATGTTACAACCAATGTACAATATTGATCGAGTAGAATTGTTGTATAGTTGGATGTTTACTACATTTATGGCCACCAAGGGGCGGGCATAAAGAATTTTTCAAGTTTCTAGTGTTTATTTTATTTTTTACTATTTTTTATTGCAATTTTTTTTGTTGATCCAATGCATAAAAAGATCGTCTTGGGAGTTTGTGGTTGAATGGATGGCAACTTCTAGTGGATTCTTTGGGAGTTCAACTTTCAGGGTAAGGCCGAGCTCGGCTTGTTTGTCAAAATACAAGCTCGAGCTCATGTTGAGCTCAAATAACGAGCTCAACTAGCCAAACTAGCAACAAGCTTTCAATGGCTCGAATGAAATTGCCATGCGAGCTTATTGGAGAAGTCATTTAAGTGATCAATAGCGTTATGGAAAAATAAGTGCTACAGTAGCTCATTGGAGAATCATGGATGTGGCTGGAATCCGGCTAGTTAAAATGGCTCACATGCCAACGAGCTGAGCCTCGATGAGTTCAGGCTTGGGCCAACTCGGCTCACTTGCACCCTAAATGAGAGTAATGATATGAATCCATTTGTTTTAGTTTAATAGTAATGGTGGATTAATTAGTAGGTAATTAGTTCGATATAGTCATTGTACTTTATTAATAAGCCAGTTTTGGGAAGATGAAGATATGAAATGAATGAATGTGTTTTTCTCCTTTCTTTCATCGAGGATCCTATCAGATTTCCACTTATTGAATTAATTATTCTATGATATTAGTTACTAGTATGAGAGGAGCTTTTAGACAAATGATCCATGTCAGTATTCTTGCATCTGTGAACTTTTTTTCATATAGATTGATTGAAAACTATGAAATTTACAACAATATAAACTTACATTCTGATCAAGTTCATTGAAATCTTGTGCTGTTAATATTCCTTTTTTTATTATTCTTTTTCAGCGACGCTGTTGAAGGAATACATTCCCAGTTGATGCAAACTCTTTCATTAAACGAGACTGTATACAGCTTGTAATATCGGAGGCCAGGTTTATTAGATTTATCAAAATTCTTCATAGTTAACAGAGCTTGTTTATAGGAAATAGAAACCTTTTGATGGATGATTTATTTAATTTTTTTCCTTTACTTTTATCATTCAACTTTTTTCACTCTTTCTTTTTCAAAAAGTTGGTTTAAATGCTAAAAGCACCATAAACCTCATCTCTGAATCTTTTCAATGAAAACTCCTTGCCTTGTTGAAGGTAATTACTAGAAATAGTTTTTAGAAGGTCCAATTTAGTCATCATTTTCGACATCCAATCATGGTTATTATTACCTGTGACCTCTTTTTTAATGCTGAAATATCCTTAATGAACTCCCTTTCACCATCCATATTACCAAACTAAGATTTTTATGCTATGGCTTCTGCTTTTATTAATGGTTTAAAGAAGATAAATTCGTTCTCAAACAAGAACTGAGCTAGATGCTTGTTGAGTTTGTTCACTTAGTATTTGGACCACATGTCTGCAAGTTGAAATGTAATGCTCCGGAAAAGATAATTTTGCTCTTTGCTTTCCCTCTTTTCTGCATACAGGATCTTAACCATATTCATTCATGGTTTTGTTTTCTTTTGCGTGCAAAATAAGACACAGGGAGAAGATGCATTATTAATTATTTCAGTTGCATTAATTTAAGGAAAATTTACATACATATCACTCAATTCATATGTATTTACTTATATCTAACACCTAAACTTCAATTTCATATACATACCACTTTATTTATGCATGAAAAGGTGTATTTCTGCTTTTAAAAGTTAAAATGGTGGTATTTCAATGTGGTCTGAAAGATTTAAGTGGTATAATATAAAAAGTAAATAGTATGTAAATGCCCCTTCATATAATTGCTCCAATAGTTTACAATAGAAGCACCATCTCTAATATGCTAATTTTAGTTTCGACGAGTGTATTTAGCGCTCGTAGACTGCATTTCAGCGTCATCAAAGACTGATGGAACACTCGAAGTTACGGTGCAAGCCATGACTTGGGCTTTTAGCCGCAGACCTGGTTCTGTCTTTGCCACATCTGGTGAAACTGACACGCAGGTGTGCCGTTTCTTCTTGGCAAGCGAAATGCATGTAGTGATTGGCTATCTTTCTATTTTAATGCTCCTGCTAGCTGCGACAGATATTTCAAGAGGTGCATATTCTATAACCATTTCCTAATTCTCAGCCTATTTCCAATTCCATAGAAGGTGCGTAACGGGCACTCTTAGATTGTGTAGATTCTGACTTGCGTTCATGTCAGGGTTTCTACATCGTTTGAATTTCTGTTGAACAGATTTTGATTTGATGTTCTTATATGAATGAATATGCTTATTCTTCTCTGAACTCTTTTTTCTTAGTTTAGTAAACTTAAGGGTGTGAGGGATATAAATCTTTTGTTTGGTTGTGGGAATTAATCATATTCAATTTCATAATGTTGGTAGATTGAGTTATGAGAAAAATGTCAAAATATAGTCTATAAAATACTAATTTAGTCCCCATATTTATTTAATATGGGCCGAAATAGTTTCTATAGAGGACTTTTTTAACCCTAATTTAAAGAGTGTGGAAGTTAATTTAATACTTTTATATAAGTCTGGGATTAGAATGACCCCATGTAAATAGTTATGAGTCTATTTTGGCACTTTAGTCATTGCGTTATTATCAAGGACTGATGGTTTATCTTCATTGAATCTATTATTCTAAAGAATGAGAGATGAGTAGTATCTAATGTAGGGTTCTAGTTGTAAATAGAATAATTTTAGGGGTTTATTTGTAATTGTTGTGTGGCTCTATATAAGCCAAATTGTTAATGCAAAATCATTCTCAATATGGTATCAGAGCCCTAACCTTCTGCCCAGCCCGATCGTGATCGGCTCCGTTCGTCCTTTCTTTCGCTTCATCACCGCCACCAGAGCTCAATGGGAAGGCAGCGAGAGGATCGTGGCTCGTAGAGAAGAGGCTTCGAACTAGGATCAAGCGGCTCGATTTTGCGAGAAGAAGAATGTTCGCGCAGGGAGGTTCGGTCTCTACACTCAGGCGATCCCGCCATGACTGTCACACGAAGGGTTTTCAAGTGTAGGGAGTGCAGCTTTGTGCGAGCGATTGCACGACTCAGAAGGCACGACAGAGGAAGATCTCGACACTTTGTGAGTGGAGGCATTTCGATGCAAGGCAGTTCGTGTGAACAAGGAAACAACAAGATCGTAGCAAGGAGCACCCAGAGGGGAGACAAAAGCTTTTGCGCAGGGTCTTCGGTGTGGGGAGATTGGACTTGCGAGGCCAATGCAGAGCACTCAATTTAGACAGAGAAGGAAGACTGCGGTTGTCGAGAGTAGGGAAGACCGTAAGATAGACTTCAATGTGGGAAATTGATCACAGGATTGTGCAAAAGGGGCTCAGGCTGGTGAAGGGCAACACTATGCAAATTTTATTCAACAGGGAAGGTAATGAGATTTCACGATTTTGAATTTGTGTTGGATTTTGAACTGTTCACGTGAATAAAGACGTGCAAACTATTTTGTGTGGCGTGCAATCGACAGAGTTGTGCAAGGGAAGCGGGCAAAGCTTTGATTGGATTGCGCGCGAAGGATTTGTGATGATAGTGAAGAATGATGAAAAATTAACTGTATCAAGCTCAATTATGATATGTGCCCATGGGCAGACTAGCAGGTGTTACAATTGTGGAGAAGTGTGACATCTGAGCAAGGCTTGTCCTAAGCCACCCAGGGAGAGAGAGACGTGTGGTCGTGGATCATCTATATGGTAATAGAGAACGAGGGGAAGACAAGTGTGGTTTTTACCAAGGAGGATCACAAGTTACTGGAGATATTAAAGAGGAAGCAGAGAGCGGCATGTGATTTCATTGTGAATGCATCCACCTTGTTGTTATTCAAGAGGAACACTGCTAGTAATGCTCACTTAACCAAATTTGCTCGTGATACACATGCTTTTGCCTTTATGTCCATCATAAGTTCACTACATTGGAATAATAGATTCTGGTGCATCTCGATATGTGATAGGTGCCACTAGTGACTTCTCATCCTATACTCACCCATCAGTTCTAGAGAACATTCAGATCACTGATGGGACAACACAGCCCGTGGTTGGTAAGAGTATAGTGAGATGTACTAATTCTATGACTTTGTCTAATGTTTTGCATGCTCATTCCTTTCCAGTGAATTTTTTATCCATTAGTTTCATTATACTCCAATTAAAATGTGCTGTTTCATTTGATATTCTAAATGTGATCTTTCAAGATAAGGGGACTGGCCGGAAACTTGGAACTGACATGTGGCATAGAGAACTCTGGTGCTTGGATAGAGAGGAGATGAACTCAGCCTTGGTATCCATGATTGAGAATGCTGGAGCAGGAGGATCCGAGGGAAGTGTGGAGAATATATTGCTGCTAAATCACAGGCGCATCGCGTAGCCTATTGTGTCGTTTGTTTCCATCATTGTATGAAAAGACAATTAAATGAAAACTTGTATGCGATAGTTGTGAGCTTGGCAAGCATACCAGGAGCCCGATTGTTAGTTCTGGCAGGCAAAGTTCTTATAATTTTGATTTGGCGCATTCAAATATATGAGGGTATTGTTCTACAATATTGATGGATGGTTACAGATATTTTTTTACTTTCATTGATTGTTTTTCTCGTATTACTTTGTTATTTCTGATGAGAAATAGAAGTGACGTGCTTGCCTGCTTTAAAGAATTTCATAGGGCAATTCAGATTCAATACGGTGTTGTAGTGAAGGTATTGAGGTTTTATAACGAGACAAAGTATACCAACGATGCGTTTGGAGAATACTTGTCAACCTAAGGGATACATCATCAAACTATATTTTCATATACACTGACACAAAACAAAGTGACAAAATCTTTTAGAGATAGCTCAAAGTATGATGATCGCAATGAATGTCCCAAAGCACCTGTGGGGGAAAGCATTTTGATAACGACTCAATTGATCAACAGAATGGCCTCGAGAGTGTTGGATTGGGAGTCTCCTTATCAGATGTTGAAAGTCGACAATAGTGGGATCTTTTCATTGAATGTATTAAGATGTGTATGCTTTGTGAAAGACAACAGGTCATCTGTAGAGAAGTTGAATCTAGAGTTGTGAAATGTGTGTTCGTGTGGTATTCTACTACTCAGAAGGGTTATGTATGTTGGAGCCCGATTCAAAATAGACTCTTTGTAAGTATGGATGTATCATTTAGAGAGTTTAAACCATACTACACTTTGGTGGCGGATTCACCTTTCAGTGACTCAACAACCACAGTAGATATGAGGCAAGAGAGAGTGAGTAGTAGTGAAAATGAGATGAATCAACTGAGGAGATGAAAATCGAGGAGGTTGAACCAGAGGTGGTGGGATTTAGGCTGAAGGTGAGTTAAGAGTGTATACTCAGACGATGAAGCAAACATAGTCTGCAGTGCCAACAAGTCCCCTGTCTCAGTATTCCCCAACTCTTTGGACAACTACACCATCCACCTTTAATTCAAAACTTCCAGGTGATGTTCCTCCTCTATTTACTGCTAACCCTCAAATATTAAGGAGGACTTCCTGCAACAACGCGAGACATTCTCTTGATCGTTTTAGGTAGGAACTTGATATTGCTAACTTTATTTTTTATTCTAACATCTCATATTTTTATGAATCATTCATTGCAGCATTGGACTCTATCTCTATACCCGAGTGTTGTCAGGTGGCTAAGGAGGATTCAAGTGGAAAGCGACAATGCATGAAGAACTTGAGACTCTTGATAAAAATCGAATATGAGAGATTGTACCACTACCAGCGGGGAAGAAAGCAGTTGGGTGCAAGTGAATCTTTATGGTGAAGCTAACTCTAGAAGGAAAGGTGGAGAGGTAGAAAGCTCGACTAGTGGCAAAAAATGTACAATCAGATGTATGTCATTAACTACGATGAAACATTTGCACCATTAACAAAGATGAGCACGGTAAGGACACTGGTTTATCTGGTAGTGAATGGCAGATGAAGGTTACACCAACTTGTTGTGAAGATTGCTTTTCTTCATGGGAGTTACTGGAGAAGGTATATATGGAG